CCCCCCCCCCCCCCAAGTAATATAACGTTTCTAGACACCAGCTTTTCAAAATGCCTCTCTTTTACTGGCTCTATTTTAAGCAGAATCCCACTGTTTAGATTATGGGACAAAATTAAGATCCTCCTTTTTCTGAACTGTCAGATTTCCAAATGGCTTTGTAGTTAATGTTGACTTTGAAATAGCAGTAGAAGATTTCTTTCCATTTTTTTAGATTATGTGATATGTTAGATAAATGGTGTTCTTTATGCATTTTACTTTAGGAGAGGTTTTTTTTTTAAAGGTGGTTGTTTTTTTTTCTTACATTTTCTAGACTACAACAGCAGATCAACTTCTTGAATTCTTTAAGCAAGTTGGAGAAGTCAAGTTTGTGCGAATGGCTGGTGACGAGACGCAGCCAACACGGTTTGCTTTTGTGGAATTTGCAGATCAAAATTCTGTACCTCGAGCTCTTGCCTTTAATGGAGTTATGTTTGGAGACAGGCCACTGAAGTAAGAAACTGTACAGAAAATATCCTAATGAATGCTGAATGAGATATTTCTTACTCTCCTTGATTGATAAATTTATTTGTAATCCTGACCCTGTTGAGCAAGGGTGTGATGTGTAGAACATTCTGCAAGATTACTGCCTATGTTAGCCAATTCATTTATTCTATAGCTTGTTCTAAATTTTCAAGACTGAAAAAGTTCTTAGAAAAGGGTGTAGTGTCAAGCATGGGTGATCAAGATGTGGCCTCAGAGCCATGTCATCTAGGTTATGGGATTCTCCATGGGTCTAGAAATTTGTCACTATGGTGAGCGATGGCTGCATTAGTTGCTGCAGCTCTGGCACAGCTACCAGTTGTCTTGCTGCCAAATTTCTGGATCCATGCACAGCCCCAGAGACAATATTTAGAGCGTAGAGCTATATCATTTGGCTCATGGGTTTGGCCATAGGGCTATACATTTAGTTGTGGGAGGAGTGGCAGCTGCTGCAGCTCCAGAAACCAGAGCAATTAATACTACTGCTGCTAGATTCCAGCTCTGCAAGCCAGATGATGCAGCTCTGGATCTAGCACGTGGTGTGGTGTGGGACAAAATATGTTATTCGCTATTTAGTTTCTGAGGGTCAGATTTACGGCAGTGTTGACAACCCTTGGTATTTATGCTGTAATGGTTTATAGACATGGTGTTTATGTTGTAAATAGTTCTCATTGTACAGATTATACCTTTAATAAAAAATAGTTCCATTTCCTAGCAGTAGCATAGGCCCATCATTGAGTACCTGAGAGGCTGGGGGAGGAGAGGGCCACAGCAAAATGGGTGAGGGCCAGGTCTTGCCTGCCCTGGCTGCTGTTGCTCAGGATCAGCAGTGTCAACTCTTCTGTGACTGGGCTTTCTGTGCTGATCCTGATGCCCTGTTTGTTCACTTTACTCTTCTCCCATCCCCCTATATGTCCCATGGCTATGCCTTCCCTGGCAAAGGTTCCCTGGGAAATGAGGGCATTCTGTTTAACTTAGTCATCCTGTATCCCCTAGATATTCTGTTGTATGCAACGCTGCCTTGCCTGTCTCCTAAGATTGGGCAGGGGCAGCATGGAGCTTCCTCTGCTGTGACAAAGACTCCTCGTGGTGGGGATTGTGGTGCCCTTCATAGTTGGTGCTCCACTTGCTCTGCCCTAGTTATGCTACTGTTTCCTGGTGTCTTCTTTTATTAAAAAAATGTGTTTATGCTGAACACACCTGGGCAACATATAGTGAATTAATGTATTTGCTAATGATGAAAAGGTTTTAGACAAAAACAGATATTATATGTAAACGATTGATTATAAGGAAAAAGCTGAACACATTAATTTTATGTTTGAATGTATATTTATGTATATACTAGTTGTTCATGTCTACTTAAAATAATTGATATACTCACTTAAAAAAAGAAGTGAGTATCTAAATTAAAACTATACTAATTAAAACTATATTTTCCCCTTAATTTAGAATAAATCATTCCAATAATGCAATAGTGAAACCTCCTGAAATGACACCACAGGCTGCTGCCAAGGAGCTGGAAGAAGTGATGAAGAGAGTAAGGGAAGCCCAGTCTTTCATATCTGCAGCTATTGAGCCAGGTAAATGCATTATGCTTGCTGCTTAATAGGAAACAAGTATACCTGTCTCTGTGTGTTGACACACACACAAACATTTTCAGACAGAGGAAAAGGGTCCCCAAACATGAGCTGTGCGGCAAAATTTAAATTGTCTAAATTATTTCCTCATGCAACAAACTTGTGGAATCTAGTTTTCTTCTCAGTTTATTTTTACATTTTATTTTTAGAGGTTTGTTTTCCAATATGTTAAAAACTGTAAAGTCAAGACTATACCTAATAATGCTTAATGCTGGTGCCATTTATATTCACAGTACTTCACAAACATTAGATATTAAATTGCTTACTCCATGTTTGGTTTGATTGAGCTATTAGACACATTTTTTGAACTCATAATTATGGTAATTTCTCACTGAACTTTGAGAGAATTCGTTCTTGGTAACACACTGTACTGTTGGTTAATTATTTGCCTCTAGCTGTAGAGGTAGAGGAAAAGTTGTTTTAAAAGTCCCTAGGCATGGCTTCAATAATACTCATTACAGTCTGGTATGGTGCTTGTGGAAACCAGTGGGAAGTTTCCCATTGACTACACAGAGCTTTGGATCAGACGGATACCTACCTCTGCAGAATATTGCAAGGATTGGGTCATTAGTATTTGTGTAGTACTTTGAAAATAAAAAGTACTTCAAGTATTAAGTGTTTATTTTTAAGTTTTTGTGCACGTTTTCAAAATTATTACTCTCTAAATTTTGTCTATTCTTCTGAAGTTTAATTTTTTAATTAAAAAAGTAATTTTCATAATATACCAAGAAGAAAACATGTTGTAATCTTGTGCATTGTGGCAGCAACATAAATCCCATTCCTTATACAGCTAGCTATTTATAATTATCTGGTTTATGTGTACTGCTGCAGGATGGCTGCACTCAACGAGTATATGCAATGACTTTCTTGGATGTTTCTGAAGGATTTTTGCAAAGAAGAAAGATGTGCAGAGAGTAGGCCCCTTGCACTATATGTGGTACATTCCACTTGTGCCAGATTGTTAACTGGGATCTTTAAATGTTCTGAGCTTACACTGCAAAGTGGTTTTTTCCTCTCAGAGTCTGGAAAGAGCAGTGAAAGAAAAGGCGGTCGATCTCGTTCGCATTCTCGTTCAGAATCCAGGTCTAGTTCAAAATCGCGATCTAGAAGGAAAAGATCACACTCAAAACTCAGGTAAGCATGCTTTCCATTTTGCAGTAGGAGTTTATACTTAGTGGCAATGTATTTTTTGAGAATTTTCTGATTATGAACCAAGTATCACTGGGAAGGAGACTACTGAATTTGGAAATACGGTGCCAGGACCGAAATAATGAAGAACTTTGTCTTGAACAGAGACCAAATAAAAATGATAGAAAAGTTATTTTAGGACAGCGTTAAAAACTTGCAGGATGAAATTCAGGCTGCATATGGATGCTCATTTCTATCGGAAGAAATTACTTCCAATAGAAAGATAGCCTGGAAGCCTTGCCATCATGGTGAAATGTCCCTGCTTTGCCCCACCTTGGAACTCTGAAGTGAGAAGTAGGCAGGGAGAAGCTGTTACCTCCTCCTCTCCTCCTTTCCCAGTCTGTGCAATGGGGAGAGCAGCTGCCCCATGCCTTCTCCAGACCTGTGACCCTGTTTGCAGAAAGGCATGAGGGCCTTTCCCTCAGCTCCACTCCTCCTGGTCTGTGGTAAGATTTAAACCAGAGGAAATATATACAGACATTCAGTCTTCCGGGAGACACTCCCCTTGGTTGTTCCTGGGTCATCTTGCTCCTGGAACAGCCATTTTTGCTTCAGAAGAAAAAGCTTAACCATCTTCACTTTGAGTTTCTGCTGAGAGAACGACAATTCTCCCAGGAGAAACTGAACATCTGTATGTGGCCTCATTTAATTAGAATAAACTCAGAGATCCAGAGCTTATCTTTTAATACTATGCCTTACTTTAATTTTGGATTTTATTATACAATACAATTGACTGATGAAAATCTCAGTTGGATTTTTACTATTAATAGCCTGACCCATTGGGTAGTTTGATAGCTTTTTTCAGTATATTTCTAGCATCCCAGACCTACAAAGTTATTTAATAGATTCAATCTGATAACACGTGGTTTTTTTGTTAACTGTAGCATGCTGGATTGCTGCAGTTCTAGTTTTAAAAGCAAAGAGTAAATCAGCTTAGGCTAGCATTTCTCCTACTTATCTTCATACCAACCCTTCTAATGATTTCTTTTCTTTAACTTGTGAAGTTTTACATATCTATGTCCAAGGTACCTGGACATGGAAGAAAAATGATTGTGTGCTATTAAAATGTGACCTGTGATATTTTACCCCAAAATGAGACAAAGTGGAATTCTTTATATATGAAGCTTGGAACTGTTTCCTGAAATAAGAAATAACATTTTCTGAAATTAAAAAATTTCCCCTAGATGATTAAAGTCATACATTGATTATCTCCAGTAGCAAAACAGTGAGGGCATGCATCACTAAAGTACTTGTAAATTTGCATTTTAAAAAAGTTGAGTGTTGCGTCAGCAGCCTTTTTAATTTTCCTGCCTGTATTGTCCTGTGATGTGGCAACTAGTAGAACTCTTGTTGGGTGCCAGGGAGCTGATCCATATGTATTCACCATGTCGATATGCTACCAAGAAGAGGTTTACCTATGACAGTGGTTCTCAAGCTTTTTTTTGAGACTCGATACTCCTTGGAAAGTACCAATTCTTAGTTATCACTTTTTTTACTCTAGAAAAATAATAGAGAATTTTTCCTATCACAGATAACTCGGACCACAAGTATGAATTCCTATTTCAGTCTGGATTAATCTTGTGAATCACGTTTGCAAACTTAACAGTGCTAGCATTGTGTGGCACCCTTGAAAGGATCCCAAGGGACCCTGGTTGAGAATCACTGACAATGGAAACTTTTTTTAAAAAACAAGAACATTTGATGAATGTCTCTTCTTAGACAGGCAAGGTTCTTTGAGTAGATGTGATATCTTTTGTTAGACCAACTGAGTAGTTGGAAAAAAGTTCTTGGCAAGCTTTCAGGCACAGATATCCTTTTTCATGGTCTGAGTCTCCAAAGAATGAGAGAAGCTAAAAGTGTGGCAGGATGTCAATGAGCATGTAAATAGGTAGAAATTAGAAAGACAAAAGATAAAGCAGATAAGGGAGGGGAAAAAAAGCAAGGGAGGGGGGGAAAGCCAAAGGCAGACATTACAGTGATAGAATACAAGGTAGAAAAGAGGCTGTCTATGAAAAAGGAAATAGTAGGAAATCAGGGAACCAGGAATGAGAGAAGCCTGAGGTGTGATAGGATATCTGTGAAAATATAAATAGGTAGAAATTAGAAAAACAAAAGGTAACGCAGGGAAGGGAGGGAGAAGAAAGCAGGAGGGAAATCCAAAGGGAAACACTACAGTGGTATTAATAAAAGGTAAAAAAAAAGGAGGCTCTTAATGAAAAAAGGAAATAGCTGGAAATCAAGAAGACAAAGGGCAGACAAGTAGGGGAGGGGAGAAAAAGTGGGGGAAAAGAAGAATGTAAGAGGTCAGGTCAGGCAGGTTGTAATGTGTCATAAATCCAATGTCTGTATTGAGTCCTGATTTTTTTGTATCCAGTAGATTTATGAAGTGAAGTTCATAGGCTCATCTATGGAAGGTGTTTTGTAAATTCCCTTTGACGATTAGAACTGAGAGATTGGAGAGGGAGTGATTGTCTTGTGAGAAGTGTGCCCCCACAGGTAGTTGGGTATTGTTGTCTTTGATAGATTTTTGGTGTGTATTTTAGTGGGCAGTTGTTGCATTTAATTGGAGAAATGTAGTGATGAATCAGATCCTAAATATCTAATGGCTTGT